GGAAGAACTGTTGACGTCAAACCAGCTTTTTCCGCTCTTTCCCTCTCTTCTTTAGGGATTAGGGTGGTGTGCTCTTCTGAGTGGGTGTGTGTTGTGCCAGAAGGCATGCGTATAGTATAGAAAGATTCTCATCCAAGGACACCGGAATAAGGGTTTAATGACCTAAGTCTGGCTGCTAGAGATGAATCGATGTACTTACCTTACCAGCCTCATACATCTTCCCTGGTCCCTGCTCATTGCAAGGAGGAACGAAGGACTTTTGATGCTGTCCCAGAGCCGGCTTGGAGGGATCCCGATATCGATATGCTCTGCCAGAATATACAGATAAAATATGGATCGGATCATGGCCCGGATACACTCGTCCCTTCTTTCTCCGTCTAGATGCCCAGAGAGGATGAAACAAAAAAGGTTGAGATTCGCCGTTCATTGTCTCGGTTCGGCTCAGACTGGTCTGACTTCGGGGTTGGAGAGATCGGAAATAAGCTGCCGTAGGCTTGGATGGAGCTATTTATGGTGAAGAGGAATGAGATGAAATGGTTCCGCATGGTTGTTCCGCACTTTAGTCTAATTCAGTTCCGTCAGGGGTTCTTTCGTTAGTTCGATGCAGATTCGTAACCATTGGTTCCAGGGAAAGAGGGATCACTAGCGGAGGTAGGCTCGCACTTAGATGTTCAATACCCGCTGTGCCCCAACCAAATTCAGGTGAATGAGCTGGTCGTTGCTTGGTTTTCCCCATCCTATGAGTCAAGCTTGGAGGGATCTACCCATTGAAGATGCAGCTTCTCCGGATGGTGGTTCTTCCCCGCTAGAATGGGATTTGTCGGTGCCAGGTGGAATCCTTTGATTGAAGGTCAGGAAAGGAATACAATTGAGGTGTGGATTCAAGTAGTTAGTTCGCACTAGCTCGTACCACCTTGAATTGCAGTCGGCCTTGAAGGCTAGTAACTAGGATCAAGGACTAGGAAGGGAAGCTCTTCTTGTCCAACCGGTCGGGTTGGACAAGAAGCTCTTCGTTGTCACGACAACATCCAAAGGTCACCCTTGGATTCTTAGGGGGGCAAGGAAGAGGCTGTTATGTTAGTTGTAGCGCGCCTTCCCTCTTTATAACACTTCGGAAAGATTTTGCAGTCTTTTCTTATGATGACCTGGTCGAGAGAGTACGATACATCGGTGTAAAAGATTGATCCCTTTGGATCTTGGTCCATGATGGCCTTTTGATTAATAGAACTGGAAGAGGAGGAAAAGAAAGAGCTTATGATGACCATCTATTTGAGTCGATCATTTCGTAGATCTAATTCAAGTGTTTTTTTTGCAGTGGAAAGGCCTTCAAATCTGAAGTTTGACGCTTAAAGGAAGAAAAGAATTAGCTTTGGTTCAGAGCTTGAATCAGAATATCGTCACCCCAGGTGAGGAGTTCGGCTAAGCAGCTAGTTGCCTTCTTAGCCTTCCTAGACCGCTAGTTGACTTCTTAGCCTTAAGGGCTTGAAGAAGATAAGGGCATGGAGATTGACCCATCTCTTAGCCTGAGCTTGCTGGCTAGCTCTATTGGGTTGGTGTCGGGTTAGCCCTTAGTTTCCTTCCTCTCCTTCTCTTTCAGGGCTCGCTTCTCTCATCTCTAGTTTTTCGTCTACTTCTTTCATCTCCGCAATAATATACATATTCTTTCTAATAAGAGAAAGTATAGATCTTGAATAAGTTGGCTACGATTAGTCACTTCGGAAGCCGTTAACCAACGCACCGGCTTTTGACTGTCCTTCTAAGGTAAGGAGGCTCAACAAAGGTCTAAGCTACTAGAATGAACGGCACATTTCGGCTTGCTTTAGTCGCTTGCCTAAGAGTGGTGAAAGTGTTATGCCTAGATCGACTAAAAGGGCTTACCAGCTACCTTCCCCTTGTAAAGTCTTGAGCTTGAGATTGAATTCTTCCTAACATACGGCTGTCTTTCATAAGAACAGGAAAGTCTTTACAGGAAGTGATCGAATCAGTACGCCTTGCCATAATGAATGTCTGTTGGAGATAGAGGTATGGCGAAGAGCTTTATAACTTTTCTTATTGGATTGAGAGTGCCCGTTATCTGCCATAGCCGCATGAAGAATTCTGAGAGGAGGTCTTTTCCAATACCAAGCCCTAAAGAGAAGGGATTGATAGATCGCTTCTCACCAGTAGCTAGCCTGTCTACTGTCCCATAGAAGGGGAATCAAGCCCGATTCTATCTTGCTTTCACCTCCGCTGTGAAGGCTCTTATCTCAGAAGGCATACAAAAAGCTCTTCCACGCCTAGCATCGTACTTTCCACTACTCGTGTAAGTCCTCCTTCAGAACAGGTAGGTGAGTCACTCTCCGCTAACCTGGTAGGTGGGACTTGCTCTACTTTGACTTCTTTATTTCATAACACTAGCCAACCAGCGTACCTGGAAGGAGCTGACACTCGTCGAGAGGATAAAGGGTTTTTGATCTTGTCAGATGCTTACAGGATATAGAATCACGTTTCCGGATGAGTTAAGTTCTTGTTCATTTCTCTTTCTAAAAGGGAGTCTCAATGAGACCTAAGAAAGGTAATGAGTCTGAATGCCTTCAGTATATTGTTGCTGGCAACCTTTCACTTAGAAGCAATAATAGGAAGTCCTAGGCAGTCTTATCTTATCTTATGGGCAATGCCCCCTTTGCCGTAAAGAGTAGCCATATCCAGTGCGATCTCCTCATACTCAGGCGTCGCCTCTAATCCCATTTCAAAACTCTACAACCGCTCCGGTCACACTGCACCTTAGAGCTTTAACGGGCCTTTAGGCTAAGGATAGATTGCCTGATAGACGAATTCGTCGACCTCCAATGCTCTAATAAGCTATCTTTCTCCCTGGGCTTCTCCGCTAACAACCAGTCCTGCAACCCGACCGGTTGGACAAGAAGAGCTTCCCTTCCTAGTCCTTGATCCTAGTTACTAGCCTTCAAGGCCGACTGCAATTCAAGGTGGTACGAGCTAGTGCGAACTAACTACTTGAATCCACACCTCAATTGTATTCCTTTCCTGACCTTCAATCAAAGGATTCCACCTGGCACCGACAAATCCCATTCTAGCGGGGAAGAACCACCATCCGGAGAAGCTGCATCTTCAATGGGTAGATCCCCTCCAAGCTTGACTCATAGGATGGGGAAAACCAAGCAACGACCAGCTCATTCACCTGAATTTGGTTGGGGCACAGCGGGTATTGAACATCTAAGTGCGAGCCTACCTCCGCTAGTGATCCCTCTTTCCCTGGAACCAATGGTTACGAATCTGCATCGAACTAACGAAAGAACCCCTGACGGAACTGAATTAGACTAAAGTGCGGAACAACCATGCGGAACCATTTCATCTCATTCCTCTTCACCATAAATAGCTCCATCCAAGCCTACGGCAGCTTATTTCCGATCTCTCCCAACCCCGAAGTCAGACCAGTCTGAGCCGAACCGAGACAATGAACGGCGAATCTCAACCTTTTTTGTTTCATCCTCTCTGGGCATCTAGACGGAGAAAGAAGGGACGAGTGTATCCGGGCCATGATCCGATCCATATTTTATCTGTATATTCCGGCAGAGCATATCGATATCGGGATCCCTCCAAGCCGGCTCTGGGACAGCATCAAAAGTCCTTCGTTCCTCCTTGCAATGAGCAGGGACCAGGGAAGATGTATGAGGCTGGTAAGGTAAGTACATCGATTCATCTCTAGCAGCCAGACTTAGGTCATTAAACCCTTATTCCGGTGTCCTTGGATGAGAATCTTTCTATACTATACGCATGCCTTCTGGCACAACACACACCCACTCAGAAGAGCACACCACCCTAATCCCTAAAGAAGAGAGGGAAAGAGCGGAAAAGCTGGTTTGACGTCAACAGTTCTTCCTTGTTCCGACAAAGAGTGTGTTTCCTTATTCTTTTTTAGCTTTGAGCTTGGTTCAGATTGGACACGTCCTCACTCGTTCTTTTTTTTTCAAGATCTTTGAGCCTCATAAGGATTCTTCTAACTGGTCTGTCCCAGTGCTAATAGACCCACTCCAATCTCGGGAACCTTTCCTGAGCTACTAAAATCTTGGAAATCGACTAGCCTTACTTCTTTCGGGGCTCCATCCCTCTTGACTATATAGGTAGGGGCTTAGCTGCTCCTAGTCAGATAAAAGTTCTCTACTGGGCTCTCGGCTACCCTGAACTACTAAAAACCCAGCCTTTGATGTGCTTGCCCAGCCTCTTCCACTAGAAAGAGCTTCTTCTCTTAAGGCTTCTTGCCAGTAGTGAGAAAAACCTTGCTTATCTATCTTTAGAAAGAGGATAGAGACAAAGATAACTAGATCAATGTCTTCCGTCTTCGTCTGCTAGAACCTTCAAGGAAGATGCAAAAGGCAGTACAGATGATAAGAGCATCTTTGCGTCTTCTCGTCTGGATCTATATAGGGGATCGAATGCATTTGAACTCCTTCTATCTAGCGCTCTCAAGCTGAGGTAACTCGAAGCTTTGAATGGCTCCTGCCTAGCTTCCTTCCAGTGATTAGAGTCTTCTGTTTGCTGTTTTTCATCTTGCTATGAGTGCCTTTACCCTTCTCTAAGAAGCCATAGGACTGTGCTATGAGGGAGGAACCCTTAGGTTTGCGGGGCATTGGATTCAATCCAGCCACAGGTTCTCCCTTTCAAGTAGCATAGACAATTTGTCATTGAAAAGAGTAGAATCTTACGCCAAATGTCGTAGATAAATATACTCAGCCGGGAGAATAACTAGCGCCTGTCTCTAGTGATTATACTAGAGGGATCCTTTTTTCTTATTCTGACTAGGGTAAAGGCACTATCGGACATGGGATTTTTTATATAGAAAATACTCCTCGTGTAAATGGAAGTATGTCACATGGGTGTGGCCTGAAATTCATCCATGAACCACTGCTTCTCCATAGAAAATCCACGAATTTGGCCGAGTTGGCTCTAATTCAATGCCTGTCTCCATCGAGAGTTCCCGGATATGCTGGGAATCCTCTCAAGGATGGAGGTGGTCGTCTAAGAACTGCTGGGTCCAGGGTAATGGCGCCTTCCACACTTAGGTTGATGCTGGCGGAGTGTGTTGGTTTTTTTCTTCTAGTATTTTTTGATGCAGTCAGAACGTCTCATCATATGATATTCAAGGCTAATTGAGTTCTTGCAGCTAGGGCAGCATCCAATGTCTGGCTCGGTCTTCATCGAATGTCAGACTGGTTCAAAGCTGTTCAATGATGGCTGAATCAATGCCATCAGGCTTTCTAGAATGTAAGGGTTCGAAAAGTCAGTTCAAGGGCTCAAATCCTGATATTCTATGCTTGAGGAATGTCTTTGCGGATGATATGCTAGCAGAAAACAAATTGATATGTCAGTATAAAACCTAAGTAAAGAAGATCATTGAAATCCTATTGTTATTGCTTTCACTACAAAAATGAAAAGGATAGAAGCTGGAGACTGGCCTATATTCCTACTAATGTGATCCCCATTACTGAAAATATGTTATACACTACGATATATTGCTCTGATGTTTTTACAACTATCTTTTTTGAAGCAGATAGTTCACAGTGCTCATTCTATCGATACTGGGAAAGAAAAAAAAAGAATGTTTACACTCAATTTTCATTACGAAGATGTATCACGTCAGGATCCGTTGCTCAAACCGAATCACGCCAACGTTATGGAAGTTCCTGGATCGTGTAAAATAAGAGTAGTACCAAAGGCAGCACCCTCTGATTTCATAATAAAAAATGGAAAATTGGCTATGGAGATTCCGTGCGGTCAGAAATTAATACAGACACAAAGGGCTTCGACAGGAAAGGAGTTTCGATCCAATCCATTCTTGGGAAAAAATCAAGACAAAAAAGGATATGTCAGTGACCTAGCACGGCAAAGCACTCTCCGAGGGCATGGAATGTCTCATTTTTTGGTAAGAATCTCCGCAGTAATGTCTCTGTTAGATTTTCCGGTCGAAATACGGGAAAAGTCCATTCAATTCTTGATGGAAATGGAGTTTTGCGAATTCTCCCCGGAACTGGAAGATCATTTCGAGATCTTCGAACATATTCGAGGGTTCAATGTCACTATTGTAACTTCGGCCAACACACAAGATGAGACTTTACCACCGTGGAGCGGCTTTTTTCAAAAAGATGAGGGGGAAAGTCAGTAAGATGTCGGAGAAGCAAAATATAAGAGATCACAAACGTAGATTGCTCGCGGCTAAGTATGAATTGAGACGAAAGCTTTATAAATTTGTAAAGATACCGATCGATCTAGTGATATGCGGGACAAACATCGTTAGAAGTTGTCCAAGTTGCCAAGAAAGAGTTCCTTTGCACTAGTAAGAAACCGATGTATTTCCACCGCTTGGTATGAAATGTAGTACTGCTAGTCTTGAACTACAAGCCATATGAAGGGCCCTATGGAAAGCCTATTTCGACATATTCAATCAAGACCTCTGAGAACCCCGAAAAGCTCTAGCCCATTTACTACCGAAACGACATATCCACGCCTAAGGGTCTAAACTATCAAATTCCCTTTCCTCGTATGAAACCTCAAAGTATGGTTACGCTCCGAGCAGACCAGCAGATCTAATGGATGGACCCCTCATTGCCCGAATAAGAGGTCGATCAAGGAGATATATGAGGTTAGCGCATGTTCGTAGTGATTGCCTCAGATAGAGGAGAATAGATTAGAAAGTCTTTCCTTTTTTTACAAATCTGGTAAGCTGGGGTACTTTCTTTATCGGTGACTAAAAAAAGAACACTTTCACTAGCAATTCTTTTTTCACAGCTTAAGTAAGAGGCTAGCAGAACTAGAAAGATTTTGTTTCCCCGGTACAGTGCTTTCATCTTTCACTTCTGCTCTGTCTTATTAACTTCTGCCTGATCTCATAGAACTGCTTTAGTTCTGATCTGTGCTGATCTTACAATCACCGACTCGAAATCGAGGGGCTACCCAATAGCAAATGCCGGCATATCTTCACATCCTAGTGCCCAGCCGGACAAGGAGCCTGTGTTACTAATTGGCTTGATAGTTCAAGTAGTAAAGGAGGTCTGTGGTAGTCAAGTATGTCTGTGGCTAGAGGATAAAAGCAGTGAATCTTAGTACCCTGTAAGCGTGAAGTCAGGCTTTTCTAACTCCTAGTTGGCTAGTAGAAGGATAGAGACTAAAGTTAGTTTACCCGAAGCAAAGTCAAGAGAGAAAGGTGGTAGCTCTCCATGCAAGCTATTCTAGCAAGTCTTCTGTGGAGGAGGAGTAGCACTAGGCAAGTAACTTATTTCACTAGTTGAGATACACAGATTACTCATGGTTGTACGAGCTTGAATAGTAGTTGAAAGGACCAGCTATTGAATACACATTGAACCATGGAAATAACAATCTTAATGGGCCTATACCAGAGAATCTTGGCTCAACCTACAATGCCTAGTTCTTTCTCATAATAATCTATCCGGGTCGATTCCTTCCAAGTCATCTTTGTCTTTTCTCAGGTTAATATACCTGATCTGAGCTATGCTCAACATCGTGGAGTTTTTGATCAGTCTTACAATAGGTTGTCTGGGACCATACCTGATGAAAGAAAGGAGGTCACTTGTTTAAGTCAAGCAATCGTAGAGACCGGGAAGAGTTAGCTGTGAAAATTCTACCTCTACTGGCCTCAACAAGGCAGAACCAAAGAGAGTAGTGAGGGGAGAGGAGTGAAAACCCGACTCAAGGCATAGTAGATCTATTCCTGCTACCTTACAACCTCCCCCAGTCTCGCACAAAGACAAAGAAGGAAGATAGTTTCAGCATGAAGCTTGCTTGGCTAGAAAGAGAAAGTCTTCAGCCTAGCTCGACTGAAAGGAGAGGAAGCGCCTAAAAGAAAGCCTTTTTTCGAGATTTGAAACTCCTAAGAAATCTTGCCTTCCTCTGCTGCCCCGGGAGAGTGAGTTTGTATGCCTGTTGGGTCTTTTCCTGGCTTTCTCACTAGGCAAATTATCAAGTCGATGCTCATATAACTGCATTTTGATACTCTCACTTTTCCCTTCGATGAGCTGATCTTGAATTGCAAAAGTGATAGCTTATATAACTGCATTTTGATACTTTTTTGAAGACGAGAAAGAGTTAGCCTTAAATGTTCGGTCTTTCATTTCAATAAGTAGTCAGCTGCGGGCTAAGAGGCCTCGTAGTCAGACTTCACATTGATTGAAGCAGCTGTTGGAGAGAAGGCATCAGTCAGACCTGCAATTACCGGGTAGTATGCAGCGGCAGTTTTCAATCATACAATGTGTACTCGTAGTCTGACTTTTAGCGGTAGTCAGCTGTCCTCGTTCTCCTCTTTGAATTGCCCTATTGAGTAAGGGTCGGGTCGGTGTTTGCAAAAATGTCGAGCCGACGGGGTCAGGTACCAGTAGTGACAATGGCAAAGGGGGGAGCAGGACACTCTAAGTGCTAGAATTAGATCTAACCGTATCCGGTCTTTCGAAAGAGAGTAAGCTCTTTTGTGAGAGTTCAGAAGAAAGATTTGCTAACTGTGAAATCATCTGCCCTGCTGTAAGAAAGGTAACTGCTTTCGTAGCAGCTCAACCAGTAGCCGGTGTAAGCAATTGAATCATCATAAGAGTGAAGTTAGCTGGGCTAGGGCTGTCATCCCTCCCCTTGGATGGCCTAGCTGTTGGAAAAATAAGAGCTGTGAACGTAGGAACTGTTGGCAATAACCGTTGGTAGACTTCTTGTTTCCGGTGTAGATGTTATCAACTCGGTAAGGCGAAGAACAACCAAAAATTCCCGATAAAATGAAAGATTTCGATTGATTAATTAAATCGGATTGATGGACAGATAATGGCATTGATGCCATAGAAGAAGCTCCTGGTGGTTCAGTCAGGTAATCAGTAACCGTTGCTACCCTTGCTCGAGTTTGGGTAATTGTGAAATAATCCGCTGCTCTCGTCAACCTTGCTTGGCTCTCTCCTGTTGATTATGCCTGATCTGATGGAGGAAGAACCGCGCTTAGAAATGTGAACGTAACCTTCGCTATTTCATCTCCGGCTATTGAGCAAAGTGGAAGAACTGATTGCACAATTGAAAGAATAGGCTCTGGTACTAATGACTTAACTGTTGATGGAAGGAACTTCACTCAAAGCTGGGGAAGGAAAGGAAGGGTCAATTTCGTAGATAAGAAGGGCGTCGTTAGCAGGATAAGGGCTAGACAGATATTTCATTAAGAAAGAGACGATTCGCCGAGGAACTCTAACTAGATCTAGCGAGTGTCTCCGTCAGATACACTCTTCGTGGTTAAACAATAGAATTGAGAAAATATCGTTATAATGAATGAGGAGCGTCGTCAATTGGTCAATTCATTTTTTTGAGAGTTTGCTGCTTCAGAGAATCGAGATTGAGTTGGTGTTAAGTAAGGTACAAGATTGAAAAGAATGCTTTTGCATTCCAAGTGCAGAATCCCGTTCATTTCTTGGTTAACAGCCAAGCTACCCTCATTAAGTAAGACTGTTGGTCTTGCTAAAGAGAAGCTTAAGCTACCTAAACAAAGATAGGGGAGCGCGGCACGACTATTTTATTATTTTCGGATGCAACCGGAACAAGATTTTTTGATTCTCTACGGGCAACCAAGCCCGAGTGAGCTTTCTTTTATGCTATCCCAAGAGACTGATATGGACTTCTTGGGATCCGCAGATTCTTCATTAGATAGTCTATCAAGTACTGAGTCAGAGGCGCAAAGCGCTCCACCATTTCCGGAAATCCTGGAAAGCATAAGTCATACATTAAACCAATTACTAAATGAAACCGAAAGGCAGTTACCTCCCGAATGGTCCATGGCGGACCTTGTTCGGGCTGTAAATGCGGACGATTTAAGTAGCCTAGTCAGGGATTTTTATGACTTACAATCAAATGGAACTCATAGTTGGTTATGGGAAGAGATTTACAATCTCCTCGATTTAATCAACTATGTTTTCTAATGAGGTTCTGGAGTTCTAACATTTGAATTTCTCTTACATTCTACGTTCCCGAAACGGATCCTATCAAATATTTCACATTTTCTATGATCATCTCTATTTCAGGTATTCGGGGAATCCTCCTTAATAGACGAAATATTCCTATTATGTCAATGCCAATTGAATCAATGTTATTAGCTGTGAATTCGAACTTTTTGGTATTTTCCGTTTCTTCGGATGATATGATGGGTCAATCATTTGCTTCATTGGTTCCAACGGTGGCAGCTGCGGAATCTGCTATTGGGTTAGCCATTTTCGTTATTACTTTCCGAGTCCGAGGGACTATTGCTGTAGAATCTATTAATAGCATTCAAGGTTAAACATGACTCCTAGAGAGTTAGCAAAATACGAAGTTCTCTTTTCGTTCTCTTCTTTCTTTTTTATTTTGACTTGGTTGGCAGGGTCAGGGCCTTTCTCGCTGGGCGAGCGCATCCGATTCTAAAGTCCTTTCCTAAACCACTTCCCGTTCAGTTGCTGAAAGATAGAGAGAAGGCTTTCTAAATGAGATTGAGTTCCACGAATATGCAGGCTAGAAAGATGCTATTTGCTGCTATTCTATCTATTTGTGCATCAAGTTCGAAGAAGATCTCAATCTATAATGAAGAAATGATAGTAGCTCGTTGTTTTATAGGCTTTATCATATTCAGTCGGAAGAGTTTAGGTAAGACTTTCAAAGAGACTCTCGACGGGAGAATCCAGGCTATTCAGGAAGAATCACAGCAATTCCTCAATCCTAACGAAGTAGTTCCTCCGGAATCCAATGAACAACAACGATTACTTAGGATCAGCTTGCGAATTTGTGGCACCGTAGTAGAATCATTACCAATGGCACGCAGTGCGCCTAAGTGCGAAAAGACAGTGCAAGCTTTGTTATGCCGAAACCTAAATGTTAAGTCAGCAACACTTCCAAATGCCACTTCTTCCCGTCGCATCCGTCTTCAGGACGATCTAGTCACAGGTTTTCACTTCTCAGTGAGTGAAAGATTTGTCCCCGGGTCTACGTTGAAAGCTTCTATAGTAGAACTCATTCGGGAGGGCTTGGTGGTCTTAAGAATGGTTCGGGTGGGGGCTGAATAAAGAAGACGAATAGAATAGAATTCATGTTCATGCTAAGAGAAGAGCGGATCCAATACCAAGACGACTTCTTTCCCAAGAAGTGCAGCAAGTACTTTAGGAATTTGGGGATTTCATGCCCCACGAGTGAGTTGCCAAGTGCCCCCTAGGAGGGCCAGTCTACCACAAGATCAAGTTGGAGCCTGGAGCCAAAGCCCCTTAACTTACTTAGAGTGGGGCTGGGTTTAGCAGATGGCCCCCCCAACTAGCATCTATTAGTTAAGGGGCTTGGTTGAACTCAGGAAAGAATTGAAGGAAGTCATTTTTTCCTATTTATATTCCAGCCTCCAAGGCTCTTTTTCCCTATCTTGCTGGGGAAAAGGTTGGGGAGCCCTTGTTTTATTCCAGAAAGGGAGCCTTGGGCATTGATTATCGGGCGCTCAACAAGGTAACCTAACCATCAAGAACAAGTATCCACTTTGATTGCAGACGCATATCCTTTCCCGTTCGCGTCTTTTGTCTAAACTGGAATCTGTGGTGAAAGATCAAAAGATTTTCAGGTATCATCCTTTCTTCACTCGCCCATTATAGACAAGACTGGGAAAGATTGGTCGTCTAAGGAAGGAATACCAACTATTGATTTTAGAGCTCCCGTCTTATTCAATTTTTTTTAGATGAATTTTACCAAGCTTTCGAAGAACAGTTTATAAAAATGCCACACGCTCGTTATGATTATGAAATTAGCGTTCCTCTTGGGATTGTAAAATGGAAGGAATTTCATGTACCCAAATGGGAGGAGTTCTTGAATGGACTAGGTCTTGTTGGAAAGGTTATGTGTTTAGTCCCAGGGGGCGACCCAGTTACTTGTATTGGGGCTTTCATATCTGTGGACGATAATGGCTTTATTCAGATTATTGAAACCGGTTCTTTGGAATAGTTGTTTTTGATAAGGGCTTAGTTACATTTTTTGTTCAAATATGCATATCTTTATACCTACTTTTCGACCCAAGACCTTACCTTAATCACCGGAAAACCCCTTTTTTTATTTCAAGCTCAGTGGTAGAGCGGTCGGCTGGTAACTGACTAGTCGGGCGTAGGTTCGAATCCTACTTGAAAAGCTTCCCTGGACTTTTTTGACTCTCTGCTTACTCCAGCCGTAAGTAAACTCGTAGAATGGGATGTCATCCACTGACTCCTAATTGCGAGAAGAGAATTTCCCTCCTAAGTCATCGAAAAAGAGGAGGCCTAGCTATGATATGAAAAGGCTCCACGGATGACTGGGGCTTAGGGCAAAAGAAAAGGAAGATCGTCTTGACTCTCTTAACTATGGTAAAATAGTTAGAATGTAAACGAAACACATGCTTCACTCTCGCTTTCAGTATTTTGACAAGAGGGGATCCGCCGAGTTGATTGAGTTGTCCTCTCAAAAGAAGAGACTGGCTAGAGATCTCTTTATCAAAATCTTTGGAACAAATGGTTGCCCTTGAAAATGGGTGTTTTTTTGTGGAAACTAAGACTAATTAAGAATGCCATTGCTGTTGATAGCAGTTTTCCCAGGTTTGGAATGAATTTTGCCTCCAAATGTGTTTGCTGTTCCTCTCCTTGCATAGAAAGAGTGGATCACCTCTCTCAAAGTGATATTCCTAGGATAATAGGGTCTCATTTCTCTCCCAGTCTCAATGTGGATTTCTTTTATAAAGCTCCTCTCTTCACCATCTTTTGGCTTCCTGGTTTAATGGTGCCAAATCAAAATCACAGTGTGGCTTTCTTAGGATCATGCTAGTGAGTTGTGCTTGCTGGGAAAGGACATTTTTCTTTATCGAAATTATCTCATGTCTTTAGGGGGGACAACAAAGCTGCAGATTGTTTGGCTGCTTATGGTCATACTCATTCAGACTCCATTTTATTTAATAGCTTAGGGTCTCTTCCTTTTGATTCTAAAAAGCCTGTTCATAGCCAAGGCATGTTCTTTTTTAGAGCTCCCTAGCTTGTTTTGATGTTCAGGGGTAAGGCCTTTATGTCCCCCCCTTGTCTTTTCTTTTTTTGCAATAAATAGCGAAAGCGAGACGATAGTTCTCTGTCGGGTGAGAGAAGAGATAGAGCACGGTATTCTCACGGGCCGAAGTGCAAAGCCCGGTAGCCTATCCGTAGTTCGGAAGGAAGCCCCCTATGGTCCAAATCAAGTTGCTACTTTCCCTCTGCGCTTATAAGTAGATAAGGTCAGACTTTGCTTGCTCTGAGACATCTTGAAAAGGGAAATCCAATATCAAAATGGAAATGTTTGAAATTGCTCCTTGACCCAAGAAAGGAACAAACGGGATTCGGAGCTTGCTGACCCTTATACACAGATGGGGGGTATAGAGAAAATGGTTATTCCTACATCACAACCTAAAAATCTTGACCCAATCATTGCGGGTATCCTTGAGGAGGGCCGGAAGTACCTTCCTACAAACAGAGTGGAGTGGTAAAGGCGAATGAGCCGGTTTACCCAATTAGGAACAAAAGCATGAAATTGCTTGATGGTTCTTGGTTTACGAGAATTGATTATGCTGATGGTCTATCTACAATCATCCCCTATGCCCCAATTCGATCTGATTCAGGGCAGGAGCAGGCCGTGTATTATCTCAGCAGGGTCTTCCCTAAGAAGAATTATTCGCCGATCGAGAAGATGTGCTTATCGCTCTACTTTGCAGCAACCAAGCTCCGACACTACTTCCTTTCCACAACAGTGTTGGTAATTGCTCGAACGGACCTGATTAAGTATATGCTGACCAGACCCGTGTTGAAGGGGAGAATTGGGAAGTGGATCCTAGGGCTATCCGAGTTCACTTTTCGGTACGTTCCTATGAAGGCGGTCAAAGGACAGGCATTTGCAGACTTCTTGGCAGATCATGCCATGAATGTTTTCGAACCAGTGGAGCTCGATGAAGAAGTCCTCGCCTTTGCAGAGGTGGACTCTCTACTTCGATGGATCTAGCACTTTGGGGGCTGCAGGGGCCGGAGTGGTATTAATATCACCTTCAGGCCAGGCCCCACAAGCTGCTAAAAGATTGAAGTTTCAAACCTGGCGGTATCACCGTTTAGGAAAAACTGCTTTCGTGCGGTCTCTTTCTTTTTCGGATGAAGGTGAGTGGCAAAGTCTGGTTCAACTAAGGAGTAGGTCGTCCTATCTGATAGAGCGGGTAATGCTCAAATTATTTTTTTCGTATTTGGGGTTGACGCCGAGAAAGACTAAAGACGGGAGAGCACGCACAGACATCCTCGGGAAAGCACTAATGAACTACGCCATCCCTGACACTTATGCGGTGAGATACCAACCATCCGATATCGCCCACAAAGCTAAGAGGCCACTGGCACCGAATAATACCCATAAAGAACGCTAACCGCCACCGGCATCTGATGCCATCCGATAAGGGAGAACTCTTTCGGCAAAGAATTTGACCAAAAAGCCCGATTCGAATCATTATGCTCGATAAAAGGAAAAAGGGAAGCTCAAATAGAAAACAGCACTACTGCTAGTAAGATAGCGATCCAGGCAAGCGCCAAAGAAAGAAGGGGGCACAAGCAAGCGCAAGAATCAAAGCAGGGCAGGATCGAAGAGCTTAGACAGCAAGCAAGCGAGAAGGAATCCCTCAAAGGCACTGAGGCAAGGTCTTTCCGATGCGCGCTAAGACAACCACTCATGTCTACTTCTAATGCGCACGAACCAGAGCTCTCTCCCGGGAACCCCTTCCCTAGTAAAGAGGTACTGACCATCGGTTCTATCGTGCCCCAGTTAACGAGAGCCTCGGATAGACTAAGGATCTTAGGTGAGACCTAGAGTGCAGCCAACTAAACGCCAAAGAAATCGGAAGAAAACTTCCACATCTGAGATTCCATGTGTGACTAACTCAATTGAGAAATGCCCCTCTTGTACGCTAACGTTCTAGGATGGCAGGGTTGGTAAAACTCTCCTTGATAAATAGAGTATGGAGAGCTCGGGTGGGGCATCAACCACTGGTTGCGGGCCTGTCGAGATGCTTCCTTGCAGAACCCGGCTGTAACTCAATAGAGTGAGTAGGAAACCTTGTAAAGGCGAGCAGGAGAATATAGATCGGTCTGTCTTGTCTTAGACTAGCCCTACTCCATCTTGGCTATCTTGAGCTTATTCATAAGCTTTTCATTTTCTGCTTACTACTAGGGCTTCCAAATTACTACGCCGGGTCTCATAGCCCCTGTGACCTTCACTTCACAGCCTGATTAATGAACTTGAAAAGCGCACTTCTATAAACAACTTCCAGAGAGAAGCGAACGAGGTCTTCGTCCACCGCGACCATCCTCCAGGAGTGCGAGACAACCGGACCGCTAAACAGTTCCTCGAGGGTAACCCAAGGGGAAAGTGCGGTAAGGTGATACCATTTAAGGTAGTTTAACCACTGGCGCATCCATCCATAAAGGAGAGAGTACTCCAGGAAATATCTAGATTCCTCAGTCTCGAACAGCTCATCGGGGGGCAATATCAGCTCCCGGGGCTTAAGTTTGGCTCGAAGGAGTCTCACCAAACGCCCATGAGCTTCTGGACTGAGTGGTCGTCCCTTACCCAACCAGAAATCAAGCGGGTAAGAAGGAGAGAGCAATTTTAGCCCCATAACCACAAGATGGGAATACCGCCTCGGGCGCCTATGGTCTAGCCTTGCAAGAACACGATATCCAGCTCCACCCAGCCTACAAAGCAAACGGAAATCACGCACCGAATAACGGTGAGCAACAGCCATCAACCCGTAGGGGTGGAAAGTGTTTAATAACGCTTTTTAATGGATACCGGGGGAGATCGACTGTCAAATCTCGAACCCTAAAGTTATTCGCGAATTCCGCGGACCCACTCCTTGATATTAGTGATTTCTCTTTCGAAATAACCACCTGCAGGAGGTCAAGGGACTCCTTGTAACGGGTCGCGACATTCTCATCCGCGATTACTACGTCATCCCCGGGGACGGCGTAGTTGGTAAACACCCTTCCCGGGTACACAAGTTCTGCACACCACCAAATAATTAGGTGGTGGGACAACGCGAAAAGAGGCCATGCGCCAAGATAGCCCAACGGGTACCCACTCAGAAATCTGACAGTAGAGCCCGGGGTCGTCACCCACGGGGCATCAAATTCACCACCAGATAAGATAACAGGAAACTAACCGCTTCGGATAAATCCTGGTCGAATAACTTGGATACAACCCTCTCAAGAAACACGATCGGCCACCTATCGGTGGCAGACCGCGGATCAAAAGAGAAGCAGACCCGCGAACCAACAAGCAAGTCGAGAGGCTTTGTTTGATTAAATGTACCGCCCATAGGTATACTACGCAGAGTATCTGCTGAAGAAGAAGGCTAGCTATACAGGGGAATCTCTCTATATATGAAAAATCAATGTACATCGACCCTTTCCTTACCCCGACGGTCTACCTTTCTTAAGGCCCTCAAACTACTTTATAAAGAGCATATGAAAGCCGGGGACTCTCGGTTGATCTTCTTCCGACTTATCCTTTGAAGTCTAGTTCTGTTCTTTCTCAAGAACTCACTCCAGCATCTGAAAAATCTAACTGAACAGTCTTCGCTACTTCGTGCCGCAACTTGGAAGTCTAGCTACCTATCCGTCTCCACCTCTGGCAATAGATCTATCCCACTCTGTCCAAGCAGTCGAGTTTCGCTTCTTTCCTGTAAGTCAGTCGATCTTGATTTGTTCTCCTCTCCCTTTCGGTAGAGATCTTAACTCTATGATTCGATTCTTTATTCTATTCTCGAATTTAGCTTTATCAAATAACTGAGGATTCGAACTGAATAAGAGAGAGCGAAAGACTTCCCGCGTAAGAGCTCTTCAAACCTTGTCCTATCGAAGCTGCGCTGATACTCCTGGAAGTGTAAATGGTTTGAAAGAAGAATCATATATGAGAGAGAAAAGATTTGGCCAAAAGGATAGCCAAGAAAGATGCCTGCTTTGGCACGGGGATCCTCTGTTTTCTTTATGCCTAGTGGGCTTGTGATTGTGGGAAAAGCAAAGGCAGCCACAGGGGGATAAGAATAAGTGGGCTTAGTATAAAACTTCTGGAGAAGACTTTTCCAGAGAGCATGGGTGTAGGAATTTTTTTGATTCAATAGGAAGTTGTGAGAATGCATTTTCCCCCAAAGACGGCGGCAGTCGCAACAAAGCGAAGCCTTCTTTTTCATTGTCTTACTTTACACGCAGAGCAGGAGCGGATCTCCAACCCCATCTGCATAGGAGTTATTTGGTAGAAGAACCCATCGCAAATAGTTCTCTTAGTATCGGAGTCTTCTTTTGACAGCTTGTAGATGTGCTTGTCGAGGAGCATGCATAAACTGAAAGACTTGATTCACAGCAAACGTCATGTCGGGCCGGGTCAACGTGAAAGACTTTAGGCCTCCCACCATACTTGTATAGTTCCTTGGATCAAGTATTTTCTTTGAGTAAAGCCAAAGCCTTTAGCGACTAGCCTGACCTTTTCCTCCTAAGAGGAATCACGACCACCACATTCCCTTAAAACATGGTAGTGAGCCTGTGAGTGTAAGGCCCTACAGATACCCCCACATCCAAAAGAGATAGAAAAACAGGTCAAGGAGATGCTGTTAAGTGGTATTATCAGGGCAAGTGTGAGTTCTTATGCCTCTCCAGTGTTGCTGGTGAAAAAAAGGGACAATACCTGGAGATTTTGCGTGGATTATCGAGCACTCAATGCCATCACCATTAAAGATTCTATCTACAAAAAAAGGTCAACGGGGGGTACTAAAATGGCTCTCACTGACACCATCTACGAGAAGGTGAGGTCGTCTTTATTTCCAGCCGCCATACGGTTCGCCTTAAAGCCTTAAAGACGGAGAAGGGGAGGAGCAGTTATCTATGTAATTACGGTCTTTGTTGGCCGGGGCGAGCACTCTCTTTTCTTTGTAAAATTCCGTCTTACCAAACAAGACTGACTTCTTACCAACCCGCGAAGGGTTGTGAGGCTGGACCAGGTATGAAGAATGAATCTATATCTGTGCACAGAAGGGCCGGCGGCCGCTCAATTGTTCGAGCGCAATGCAGTGGTATTGGTTCCGATTCGACAAAGGTAGAATGCCTGGTCGAAGGTCCAGTACAGTAGGTAGCAGGCGTGTTCGTTTTGGCTCCCGAGCGAGAACGAGAAAGAGGCGATGCACCATCCTTGCTGCTATGTACGTTAACCTTGACTTGACAGATTTATCCAATTGAACCCAAACTCAAAGGAAGACCACAAGCTCGGGGCTCGATGAAAGAGAAAGTCTCGGCATTAAGAAAATGGGGTTAGCTGTGAAAGAGGCATTCATTTTTTCATGAATATTCATAGCTGAGTCTACTAAAAGAGGGACCAGCTCATCGTAGTGATTAGAGGACACCTCTGATCGTTCACCTCTAATGTGAAACGTTCCCTCCCAGTTTGATCAACGGGATCAGTCGGCTAGAGAGCGGGGCTATTCTTCTTCCGAGGAGACAAAGTAGTCTCTTGTACTGACCGAACCCTCAGTTCGGAGGTCTTCATCAACATGTTACGAAGCTCTAGTCTGGCGGTCAACTTGATGCAGGAGAGGCATGAGTGCAGTTCGATCTTGTGGTGTATTCCTTTGTAGTGAGTAGGGCCTCTTTCTCGTTGATCAATTCGCCTCCGCTCTATTGAAAGGTCTCCATTCCTATGGCGGTTTTGTCAATGAACCCGTGGATAAGTAGGCCTTTCTTGCAGACCGATCTTCTGCCGAGTTCCTTCCTTCATAGTCAAATCTGATGATACGCTTTGGCGATGTTACCTACCAAAGAAATGGCCTGCTAGGTGATCGAAATCGCTCAGGTCAGCGAGGACTCACTCACCTACTCCTTATCTAATACTTTCTTCTATCTACTGAATTAAAAAGGCGACCCGCCGCGCTGGGCTATAAGATAAGAGACAGCTGTTGTACTACTTGACTGGTAAGAAAGAGCATCCGTAAGAACTGGAAGACTCTTGTATGTACGGTAACCCTATCTTCCGCTACTGGTGGACTGTTGCACATAAAGGCCGACAGAAGCAACCTTTCTTAGCGCGCTTTTCAAGCGCTTAGCTTCTGCTATAAAAAGGCGGCAAGGCCACAAAGTAAGTGAAGTTGAAAGCCTAAGCCAAGAAGGTACGAACGAAGTGACGGGCCCTTTTAGAGAGAGGGGGCGGCTTTCTTGTGGTAGTAATTGCGAACATCTCTCCTCTTCTCTTAGCGTGCACAGTTTGCTTACGCCTTAGGCACATCTATCTTTCTTAGTTTCACGCTGGCCTAATGAATTGAATATGAATAAAAGTCAGTCTTTTAGTAAGCGTATATAAGCAACTGTTTAGTGTATAAGCAATTCTTTAGTGGTCGCACCGGTACGATGGAGGTTGGTTGAAGATGATGTTACACGGCGTTTAGAACCAGTCTTGAAGTGAATGAATTAGAAAGAACGAAGAAGTAAGGAAATGAGACGACTCTTTCTTGAACTATATTATAAACAGACCTTCCCCTCCACACCAATCACGAGTTTTTCTCCATTCCTCTCATATATCGTCGTAACGCCCTTAATGCTAGGTTTTGAAAAAGACTTTTCATGTCATTCCCATTTAGGTCCGATTCGGATCCCTCCGTTGTTTCCTTTTCCTTCCGCACCTTTTCCTCGAAATGAGAAAGAAGATGGTACACTTGAATTGTATTATTTAAGTGCTTATTGCTTGCCAAAAATCCTACTTCTACAATTGGTAGGTCACCGGGTTATTCAAATAAGTCATGTTTTCCGTGGTTTTCCCATGTTACAACTTCCGTACCAATTCGGTAGATCCGGAATGGATCGGTTAAACATTCCATTAGGGAGCCTGGTCTTGACTTTTCTGTGTGGTATTCATTCTCGTTCGGCTCTTGGAATCACATCCAGCAGTGGTGGGAACAGCTCGCAAAATCCATCCACTTCACCTACTTCATTGCCCCAACCCTTTCTCGTACCTCTATTGAAACAGAATGGTTTCATGTTCTTTCATCGATTAGTTATTCCTTTCCGTTCGTATCTCTTTCTCCAATTTCGGTCTCGATTAGTTCACAAGATTGAATGGCCAATTCTCCTCCGGACCCTCGATTCGATTGTTTTCCAAGAATGTTGAGTCGGGTATGTAAGCCATGTATCTGGGAGGAACTTAAAAGAAGGGCTTTCGGTTTTTTTCACCCCGTTTTGTGGTCTTGCAGCTATTTAAATAAATAAGAATATAAAATTATATATATATATATATATATATATATATATAATAAGACTTTTTTAGAAGAAAGATTCTATATATGACCAATCCCCAGTGGTGGTGGGACCAACCAAGATGTATGTCGTCCAACCCAACCTCAGACTCTTTCTTCCCGACCTATTTGACTCTCTGGCCGCAATTATAGTTATTTAGGTGGTATCCCGAGATTGAAGAGATCGAATTCCTCCGGGGAACACACGAAACAAAGATATGAACTGGGTAAATAGAAATGGAAAAGAGATGTTTTCAATTCATCAAAATGAGAAGCTTTTTCTACATCCATATGATCTACTAAAGTAGATCGGTATTGCCCATATAATAAAAGCAGATCTTGGTCCATGGAATCCCAAGAAGGTAAGAACTCCAACCTGTCCGATGCTTCTTCGGCCAAATACGATATACAAGTGGGACCTGCACTATGCGCAAGCTATGCGAAAAACCATTTCTTTTTTCCGGTTCTGAAACAACTTGGGCGAAATAGGGTTCTACCGGGAAACCATGGATTTTTTAGTTTTCGCCATTGGTTACTGGTTGAGCCACTGGAATGGAATGAGATAAGAATCTCTGGAGATCTTTCCTCTCCACTTACTCGTAACAGGCTTTCCCTCTGTAGAAGACTTCTTCTGAATGGCATAATTGGGAGATTAATTCCTCGATCTTCAAAGAAAACTGACTCCTCCTACTCCTTCTTCTCCTTTAGGATAGGATCTGTTGGATTAGTGTCTAAGTCCATAACTATTTTGGTATGTACTTGACCCGATGGTGCATGGTCCTTTTGGGTTGCCTTCACCAAAGCAACTTGATTGGAGAAATGAATAAAGAGAGAGAGGATAATATGATTTATTAATATGTTATAAGAATAATATATTAAAGGAGAAATCATATTTGTTTAATTAATATTGGTCAATAATTAATTAAGAATTAGTTTTGTGATCAAATGTAATTAATTAAACTAGAGGGGCTGAATTGTAATTATGTGATAGTTACAAAATAAGGTAAGGATTACCTTATATATATGGTGAACGAATTTGAGGTGTAAATCCCTTAGAATTCGAGTATGATAAGGATTCAAGGATTATCTTATTGGTTGCTTAATGGATAATCAACTAGATAAGGATAATGACTGAAACCCTATCTCTACACCTATATAAACACCCCTAGGGTCATGAATTCGTGTATCCCTTCCCAAGAGGTCCTAGATACGAATTCTAACCTCTCACCTCTCTCCTTATACCTTCTCCACTTGCTTATGGTGTTTGTGAGCCATTAGAGGAGTGACACTTGTGACTCTAAGCCTTCCAAAGTCAATACAAGGAGATTTGGGATTGTTATTGCTACATAACAATCAAGGTAACACTATAAACTTATTCTCATGTTAATATGATTATATGTATGCTAGAATTAGGGTTTATAGTCTTGGATTCAAAGCATGTACAATAGAGAAACCTAGATCCAAGCATTAGGGTTTGTATGAGCACATAGGATGTCTTATGACCAAAACCCAACAGTGGTATCAGAGCCTAGATTGGTTTCAATTGTATTGATGCATATTTGATCGAAATAAGCACTGAAAATCGATTTTTTGAGTTTCTGAGTGTTTGACTCGCCGAGTCACTTGGTGAACTCGCCGAGTCAGCTGTACTCGACGAGTCCAGGTCCAGACTCGACGAGTCAAAGGGTCTGACAGCTCAGATTCGCGATTTTCTTCCTGTTTTGGTTTTGGATAATTACCATAAACTTGCTTTTGTGATAAAATCCGAATTTTTTCATTATTATGTGATTATCCTTACCAAAATAGAAGATAATTGTCAAAATTTAGATAATCACTTGTTTTATTAGATAAAGTTTGATTATTTGTAATTTAGATTTGAATTATCTTGTGAAATAGTTTCAATTTATCCCTTTAGGTTTTATAGTTTAAATTTGAACCCCAAAAGTTTTGTTGTTTTGAAATTTAAATAGTTAAAACCCTAATGTTTTGAAATGTTTCAAAACTTGCCCTCAAGTTTTGGAATTTAAAAGTTGATTAAAAGGTTAATTAGAAATGTTAAATTCTAAAACTCTAGTAATGTTTTGAAAAGTTCAAATCACACCCTTATGGTTTTATTAATTAATTAAGGTGTATAATTAAAAGAGGTTTAATAAATCCATAAAAGTTTAGGTTAACCTTTTAATTGAATTAAAAGTGTAATTGTTAAAGTTAACCATATAGTATTTTAAAAGTATAAAATACACCTATACTATATATAACATTAAAAGTCTAACATTATATATATGTATGAGTAAAAGTCAGTCTTACCGTTAGTAGGCCTCATTCACGAAGCTGGTCTATAAGGGGTGTTTAAGGAAATTGCCTATAAAATGGCGATTGAATGGGTATCCACTCTTACCCACCGCACTCTTGACTAGTGGAGGGTCGTTAGCCGAACGGGTAGGATAGGACGAAACCTTCCATTATAAGTATAATGAAATACAGAGTAACTAAATGTTTCGCAAATTCCCAATCTTAGTTACTTAGGCAAAAGTGAATTGATGCAATTCCATGAAATTACACTTTGTGCCCTTGCGAAGACGTTAGTGGAGCGTGTGTGGTTTACCGGCACACTAAATGGTTCTAAGCAAAGGTAGCAAAGGGTGACTCAATGTTTGTCATAGTTCGGTGGAGCGTGTGTGGTTTACCGGCACATCGAATAGGTGATTGTAACATGTGAGGGCACCATGTAGTTTGCATGGTTATTCACACCCGCTTTGTGATCCTCGGCATCCCAGTCACAAACAAGAGGGGCATATCGAGATTTAAACATGCCATTGAAATGTTCAATGAATCTCAAAGGATCTAGGAGTTTTCATAGATTTAAAACTTAAATTTCTTTTTCGTTTTTCATGGTGGAAACTAGTGAATCGTCATTCACTTACCTTCAAATGTTCTGCGATTTGGGTTACGGCATCCCTCTCCCGAGTTGTAGGATATTGTGTTGGGTCCTAGCCTTGGAATTTCATTTGGGTGATTTACCAAGGACTCAATCAATCAACTAACTTGAATTCGTTTTTCTCCCGATGTCAAAGTTCGACAACTATGGTCTTCGCAAATCCGTGGAACAAGCATTCCACATGAAGATGATATTCCACGATTCGATCGAGGAACAAGAAATCATGCTTCACTTCCTCCTCCTCCTCCAATTATTCTCCCTAACCCACAAGATTGTAAAATTGAAAGTTCAATATCACTCAAGCCCTTTTGGCAAGTAAACATAAAGAGGAAAGTCGGTGTGTGCACACGTTAGGGATGAAGTCACACATTGATAGATAAGAATGATGGGATCCGTTGTCGGTGAAGAGATGGCTGTTGATTGGGTTCTTCATCACTTCCTAACTCATATAGTGAGTTCGTAAGAGAGTACTATATGATGAACCGCGACGTGACCCTTATAGATCTCACCTATATGCTTATTGCTGCTGAATCAGCAATGGTTTGGCGCAATAGAAAAGCAAAGTTGATTGGTGAATCTGCCTTCGAGACCTCTGTGGATATAGACAATGGCAATGAAAGACATGCAATGATCGAAAAGTTTGATCATAAGAGAAAGGCGATGTCTGAAGTAGTTCCATGTGTTGTTCCAAAAAGAGTCAATTTGCTTTTATTGCCAAGAGAAGGGGCATTGGAGACGAAGCTGCCCTATTTACCTAAGAGATCTAAGAGATGGGAGAGTCGAAACGTATGGCTCTAATTTAGGTAAAATCCATTGACTAACTCTTTTAAGCTTCATTCTAGGTTCTGAATACATAATGTGATAAGATTACAATTGATGTTTAGAAGGATCAAAGAAAAGAAAAGAAGCTTAAGGGAAGAAGTGAGCAGAATCTAACCGTGAAGGAATGGATTTCGATTGCGTTTCTCGAAGATTAGATTCTTGAGCTACTACTTAGAGTTAGAATTAGATTGCTAAGAAAGATGTATTCGCATAAGTTTTTCAATGAGTTGCATTGTGAAGGACAAATTTTTCCGCAATAAAATAAATTTTGATTTTAAATTTTATTTATTTATCCTTACAATGGCGTGTATGAAAAATTGATGTTAAAATTATTAGCAATAATGGATTTGTTTCTTATTGTGTTATGGAAAGTCAAGAATTTACCAAATAGGGAGAGTTTCTCATCGCCCAAGTTTCAATTGGACAGAAACTTGGAATCATGCAACTTGGTTGCATGATGAATGAGAAATTTCATATTTGATAATTAGACTAATTCGTTGACAAAGTGTCAAGTGAAGGACTAGGAGATCGAGTACACAAAGTTGTGTGTTGATCAAGTTCACCATAAGAGTAACAAAGATATTCGTCATCATTTACTAAAGGTTTAGTAAATATGATTATACTTACAAGATTAAGTGTAATTTTGAATTGATTAAAGGGTTTAGATCAATAGCAAAACGAATAAGAAGAATCAAATAGGCAGAAAGATAAGAGTTTCTCCATTCTAAGAAGAAGGGAGAGTGGCTTTTATGCTTTATGATAGGTCTTAATGATTAAGAACCATATCTCAATTGATCCTCTAAGTGAGTCTTGGTACAATTGTATGTCCAAGAAGAGGAATCAAAGATTGATGAAATGGTCAAATCAAGAAGACAATCATACTTTGTTCCAATAACAAGTCTTAAAGTTAAGATTGTGACAATGAGTAAAAAGTATTAAAGGTTTATAACATTCATCAAATGTGGAAAGTTGTGATGTCTTGGATAAGACAAAGACCAACTATGACCAATTTATGAAGTGTTTTGATACAAGCTACACTAACTCTTGAAAATTTGTTTGTCAAGAAATGTTTATTGACAAAAGAATCTTATATGTCAAGGAGTCAGTGGGAGTCTT